TGTAATGTACTGATAGTATAGGATGAAATTACGGCATATATATATGCTATTTTTAGTTAATAAAGGCAGGATCGCCAAAAAAAAATATATATATATATATTATTACTGTATATTGCATAAAAAAATTCATATATACGTAGACGTATCGATATTGTATATAAAAAAAAATCTCCAATAAGTAATTTTTATATGATACCACATATATATTTGATTTACATAGCTGACAGCACACCCCAATATTCCATGTAATTTATACTTATTATATTATAATTTAAGTTTAGTAAGAGTATCTTGGTATTAAATAGTTTATATTTGTTATTATCATGGCTTTTAGTATTATCTGTCAAATAAAATTCTTAATTAAACTCCTAAATGTGATTATTAATATCTTTATTTCTACTTAACAATTCTTGAATTGTTGTTAAAACTATATGCCTAACACTATGCTTATCTTCCAAACCGGAGTCTATAATTATTTATTATTAGTTAGATTATATTTTATCTTATGAGATTTTCTAATAAAATTAAATAGTAAATATTCATGAACTTGACTAGATTATCTCATCTTTATTTGAACTGGCAATCTGAATATTAACATTATTTAATAAATTTTTTATACTTTTTAAAACCTTTTTGTATCTTTATAAGTGATCTTTTAATTGAGTAACTAAATTCACAAAGACTTTTAGTTACACTTTTGGCTTATATAGTTTGATCAAGTTTGTCAGTTTCTATAACTTTGTAAAGTTTACTTTTAATAGAGGTCTCTCATGGAGCATGACTGTTTATAATTTTATATTTTAAAAAGAGATAATGATAAAGTTGTATTTTGACGAAATTAATTAAATAAACACTACCCCATTGTTACGTATTATGATTACTTCAGAATGTATTAAATCATTTAAAAACAGTTTTAAATCAAACAATCATGTTTTTAAACATTCTGTTTTAAAACATTTTCCATCCCTAGTTGGTACTAGTGTTCCGCATGATTCGGATCGGGCGGTATTTTTAAAGATCCGGACCCGGTCCGAACATCGATTCGGATCTAAAATCAGGGTCCGAACTCATATCACGCAGATCCGGATCCGGATCCGGATCCGCGAAGTTTTAAAAGAGAATTATGGTTGTACTAGGACCGGGAAAACTCTATAATAGGTCCCCGCCCTAAAAAAATCTATTTATATGTTTTGCGAATCAGGCCTTTACAAGATTCTAACTATATTAAATGCATCATTAGAAATAAAATAAATTATTGAACACATTATGATTTAACTAGTTCGTAATAGGATTTCTAAACTAGTTTTATAAATTAAGGTTATAAACTAGATTTATAAACCAAGTTTATAAACTAGGTTATGAAACTAGTTCAAGAACTTCTAGTTAATTTTTCTTTGAACAAACTACTAAAAGAACTAGTTTGAACTAGTTTGAACTAGGCTCAAACCAGGTTCATCTGAACCACTTAACATCACTATTGACGGCTGTCTAATAATGACCCGGGTTTAATAAAAATGAATAAAGTTTAAGCAAAATCTCATTAAATAAAAAATAAAAATTCGCCATGTTCAAAGTTCATTTTTCTGTTTGAGAAAACCAAAATTATTTATTTGAACAGTCACAATTTATAAATTAAATTTGTAATAAATCTTACGTTTATTAATTAACAAAATTAAAAACTCCAATTTGATATATATTTCCATACGGGATAAAATCTAAACTTCTGATGTAAACACGTTCATCAATCCTTCCGATAATAAAAAATAAAGATAAATGGGAATATATAAAACTATCACTATTATTTTATAACATTAGAAAATTTTTCTCTTTTTTTCATTACATCAATTTTCTAAATCAGAAAGATTTGTATTTAATAATATTTCATATTGATCGAAAAATTTCATACAGTATATAATATTAACAACGCCTAACCTTCTTCAACATACCAGACATATGCGAAAAAATCTATCCACATTAGAAATTATATAAACTGAAATAAGGCATTGAAAAATATCAGCTTCAATAACCTTTTGGATTATTATAAAGTTCCTGTATTGGTATAGGTTTTACTGCATTTAACTTTTCAATAGGTGGAATGACACCTTCTTGAGGAACTGTATCATGATAAACAATATCATTGTTTTTTGTTGCTGAATTTTTTTTCTCTGTGATAAGAGCTAAATTCGACTTTGTGAGTTCTTGTAACGAGTTTGCTGCATCAGGAGGAAGTGTTGGTGAATTTGTTGGTGAAAAGGCTAAAACAAAAGTCCGATTGATAAGATAAAGTATGAAATACATGTTATGAATGAGAAAAACGTTACAAAAACAATGATCTCATTTATTCCCAATTTTTAATGTTTGTAAAAAAGTATATTATCATCTTCCCGATAAAATTTCAATATGTACTAATTATCATTCGGCTTATCAATTTTCTTTTTCGTTCTTTTATATTTATCTGTTCCATAATGATCAACAAACAAAATCTCTTTTGTTTTTCTTTTGGCTGGGTTATCGTCAGAATTTTTGCTTATTATTAAAATAGTGGTGTCTTTGTGATTTATCTGAACACTCTCCGTATCATAGTTCCACAAATTATCAAACGTAATCTTTTCTCTATAATAACAAAAGTTTTCAGTAGTCAGAAGTATCTCTCAAGAGATTAGGAGATGCATCAACTTAATCCGTTTAAATACCTACTATCAGTGCACCTGACGATGAATAGATTATTGCATGATGGTCGTTTGTTGGAGCTAGTATTATTAATCAGAGCAAAAAAAAATGTAACCGATTAATTAATTGAAAATTTTTTAAAAAAACGATTATTGCTAACTAATCGATTAATCAATTAGTTGGTTAATCGATTAACTGGATATCATCTTAATATTGTGGTAATCGGAAATACAAATGCATTGACACAATAAAAGAAAATCAAAAATATAACATCGCAAATATTTCGTCATTTATTTTTGCACTATTTAGTACCTAAAATAAATGGCACCTCTTAACATACATATTTATTATTCACCCCTTCATGTTTCGTAACAATTGCAGCCCTACGAGACTTTTTTGCATATTAATATTAACCCTGTCTCTCTTCATCCATTACTTCTGAGAGGATCTCTGTATCGATTGCATCAATTATTTTTAAAACACGGAACCTAAGCTTGTCCAAAAGTTGGTTTGGCATGGCAAGAATCACACCAAGCTCTCTAGCCACCATGATTGCCTTTCTGGTAAACCCAATATTTGTGACGATTACACCTTGAACATCATACACATTCTGCTAACGGCTGAAGTTCAACATCGTTGTAGCGGACTCTTCTGACGTTGCACCACTTGCATGTAAGAAGAAAGTAAATGAAATATTCCTGTTCACTTAACATCAAATCCTTATCCCTATCGTTGGTCACTATATTGGTGATAAAAGATTCGTTTATTTCGTAGTTGCTTTCAACTAAGTTTCGCATCTCATTTTTGAATCTAAGCTGCATATTAACATTCTAAAACAAAATAAAAAAATTATATTAGCACATCGTGTCATCATTGTGTTTGGAGCCTCGTCACTTTCGAGCCTACTCGCACCAGACCCCGCTAACCGGTCTACACGGGCGATTCCTGTAGGGAAAAGGCCACGTACAGGCTCACTCCCGCAGCGTAACTTGCACCGGCCGCCCACTCGACAGGCAATGCCAAGTGAATTTGCATAACAAACTCACCTGTCGTCCATTACTTCTACTCCTGGTTGTATTCATCTTGTTGAATGTATAGAATTTTTAAAAGGTGTATGGAATTTTTAAAATTGACGTGTATGAAATTTTTAAAAATTATTTTTAAAATTGGTCGTGTATGAAATTTTTAAAAATTGTGTGTAAGGAATTTTTAAATTCCATGAAACCTTTTTTTTATATGTTTTCTTATATCAATGATATCCCTAGACGCAACCTTTGGCCCAAATATGGTTCTGACCCGCATGTTATTGAAAGTTTGTTTGCATTTAGGGAGGCCTAACACTATTCTAACACAAAAATCTAAAAATACAACATTTGTATAACACAAGGTAAAAATGCAAACTCTAGAATTGAAGATCATTAATAATTATAGTAATTCTACATGTAGAATTGACAGTTCCATGTAAAATCAATATGAAAGGGTGAAACCCCGCAACCCATATGGGCGGATTTGCGTCATTACTACTAAAAATGACAAAATGTTTAACAGTGAATAACCTTTTATTCACATGTCTATTGTAGATGATTTTACCATCAGGATGACCGTCTCGATGAGACGATTCTAACGAGCCCAAAATCGCTAAAATCCAATCACAGGATCCCAAGATATTTAAAAAGTAGTCTGCTTAGAATGGGTTATACCCATCCTATTTTACCCGAAGCGAAATATCTCGTGATCCTGTGATTAGATATTGGTGATTTTAGGCTCATTAGAATCGTCTCATCGAGATGGTCATTTTGGTAATGAAATCATCTAAAATGGTCTGATGGGTAAAAAGTTATTCGCTGTTGAATTTTACTAGTAATGACGCAAATCCGCCCATATGTAGGCAAAAAATACCTACTTATTTACCGGCCACTCAAAAAGTATCTTTTTGATTCACAATATACTAAATCCGATTGGCTAGAAAAACAATTAACATTATGCATATATAAATATATACTGCATTAGAATACTACATAAAAAAATTGTTGTCTTGAACTGTACGGCAGAGTGTCCAGCTATTTTTAGCATCTAAAATAGCACTAGCGATATTACTACAACCACATAATCAAATTCAACCGGAATTGTTTACTTTAGTTATA